TATAATATAATATAATATAATATAATATAATATAATATAATATAATATAATATAATATAATATAATATAATATAATGTAATGTAATATCAAGAATCACAATAGGCCACTCAAAATCCACACATCAGTACCTACTCGACAAAGAAGAACCGCCAACTTGCGAATTATACAAAACCTGCCTGACTTTGAGGCACACCATCGTTCACTGCAGAAGATACACTGCCAGCAGACAATAATTCAATATTAACCCCATCATCGAAGGCAACTTAAAAAAACACAAACCGATCGAAGATCTACTAAAATACCTGAAATACGCCAAACTATAAAGCAAATTGTAAACTCCCTTTGTACGTCGCTAATAACCAACGTGAGGTTGATGCGACAATAAATAAATATATAAACATATAACACACAAAGTTTCATGATTTATTGGATTTCCGAGTTCGATACCTTTCCTTGTCAGTAGCTTTTATGTATTGTACTTATGTCGGCCTTCTAAATCGTATATGTTTGACGTTTTATTTTGTTAACACTTGTATGAAACAAGTATGTGAAATAATTGAAAACAAACAACAATAATGATAGAAAAATTAGTGTTTCGAACCACGAGATACCGCGTCCAAGTTCGCGAACGGGTTAATTCACAGCTATATGCAATGTTAAAGTGTTAACAACACGTATGAAGATCAAGGTTATCGATGTGCTGCTCTGAAAGTAAATACTTACTAATACTTTTATTAAAACACATGTATGCTACCAATATTTTTTATAATAATTTCTTTGGTCGATGCTTTCTAAGTCATAACTTGAAATTGATTATTTACGACCATCCTACTCGATTAATAAATTGAAAATGAAACAATTCAATTTGACTCAATTCGATTCAACTCAATTTGATTCGTTATGGAAGACACTATCTTCAGATATGTTGTAATTCGAACATGCTATTAACCGATTAGAAACTAGTGTTATTTTAAAAGACGAATCCCAGGGGATTAACATTATCGAGATTTTTCGTACTACTGTTCGGACATATTTATACACCTATATCCTTACACACTGGGTGTATAATTAGTCTCGAATGGGTCAAAAGTGAAATGACCTCAAAGGACTGATACGATACGTTGGAGATGTTCACAATGTACTTACCCCACAGCGCAGCACACAGTATTTCACTGTTGAAGCGTTTCTTATATTTGCGAATTTCAGGTGTATCAGATGCAAGGTCATGGCTGGTTGGTGTCACGTTAACGTTTACGTGAGATTCCCTCCTGGCCGGTCCAGCACCGAATCCAAATGTCAGGAATGATCTTTGCTTCTGTTGGAGCGCAAACGGAGGTGGTGATTTAACCGCTTGCCGATACTGCAACAAAAATTACTCTCAGTCTCAAATAGAAGTGTCTCGTAACGGAAATTAAGCTATCGAGAATGGTGTGTATGTTACTGTAACCGACAATATGAAATAGAGTACGATAACCGATAGATAGTAGTGATGGCTCGAGGCGAATATTAGATAGAACAAAAAATGTACGAAATAACATGCAGTACAAGACGCGAAACAATCGACACGAGAAAATATAAAGTAGAACAGAACAGAACAGAACAGAACAGAACAGAGAGACCAGAAAATTATACGCATATCTTATGTATTAAACACAAACAAATATTACAATAAACAGAAAACTTTGATACAGAATTAAACAAACTGAATGCAAGAAACAACGGAGTCACACAAGCCAAAGCACAAGTATTCTTTCATTAAGAATAGAAATCTGAGAATCTGAGAGAATCTTACAAAAATCGACAATCATGAGTATTTTCCCAACGTCAGATCTACCGATGAATAATTCGATACTTTTCTAATGAGTCAACGATACAACCATTATTAGTGGTGTTCCATACGGTTTATTCGACGTGTCACGCCTATTGTCAGAGACATTCGTATGACAGAATGCCTGAAAGTAATTAGAAATATTTTATTTACTTGATTGGTGATGAGCATTAACTTTAGGGGAAGATAGTAGATTACACATCGGTATCTCTAGTATCACTGTATTAATTTCAAATGATAACGGATTTCTCATGAAATCTTGTCGACTTTCTCCTTCTTGTACATTCGCTAACCAGTAAGAAAATTACAAGACAAAATAAAGTTTACATAGCATACCTAGTATAATCTGATAGTATATAATCTTGATCGTGCTAGGAAGTTCGTTCACTGTGTGAGACCAAATAAAAGAGTCCAAAAACCAAAAGAGAGGAAAACCGAAATAGTAGCATTCAAAAAATCGACATTCCTCGCGATGGTAGTTGACGAATAGATGAAAAGTTAAGAGAGAAAAGAGGGGAAGTTTATTGTGTTTCTTTATTTCTTTCGTCTGCACATGTCAGGAACATTCTGATAAAAGGAGACAAAAGCGACACTGAAATATAAATGGATAAATGAATACTTACATTGTAATTAGTATTGGGATTGGGATGGTCAGTAGATAGGGCCCTGCCCTTCGGATTAGAGCTCCCACGTGTCCCACAACACACAACAGAATCCTGAATTAGTCACGCTGACAAGCGCAATGTGACCGCTTGCGCGGATTCTCGCAACATATAGACGAGTGCAATACTCGAAAGATTGATAATCAATTGACAGTTTATAGTGTTTTTCGATGAAAACCGACTGTTTGCTTATTAACATATGAATTAGTTTTCACTTAATTACTTACATTAAACTAAGTTTCCGTATATATCGAGTAGTTCAATTATTTACTTAGGTTAATCCACGGTCTCAACGATTACCTTGTCTTGATACACGACTTTCCTGTGAAAATTCGCTGGGAGAAATCGTATATCAAGTGATTTACATCTTAACTGGAATAACAATGTCAACCAGCGAACATCGGTGCCGGTGAGGGTGTGAATTTCCATAATATGAAAGACTTCCTACCTTTTTTATTATTTCGAAGTGGACATACCAGAATTTTTATAAGATGAAGGAAAAACGAAAATAAAAATAGGAAAAAAGAAGAAAAAGTAGAAAAAGAAAAAGGAAAAGGAAAAAGAAAAGGAAAAGGAAAAGGAAAAGCAGAAGAAAAGGAAAAGGAAGAACATATTGTATTCGAATGCATAGAAAACAAATGAAATTTTTCTAATCACACGAAATATCATACCGATAATTAAAATACAATTTCTATTAAAATTACGAACAGGGGGACGGGATTTAACTTTGCCTGTGGAACAAGTATTACTATTCTTTGCCTTAATTTAAACTTAATTAAATATAGTTAAATTATTTTATATGCAGGATACAGTGTGACAGTTCATTATATTCAACCAAAACTGAGATGAATCTTTATATAAAAATAAGATAAGAAAAAGGGAATGAAAATTTGTTCACGTTAACCATGTTATTACAAGACCATTTATCCTCAATACCATTAGATATATTGTCCGAGACTATTTTTAAGATGTTTCCTTAAATTGTACACCCGCATGGAATTTTTTTTATCAGATTATATCTGTTTTTGTTATAAATATCTGTTTTTAGTCACTAATAAGAACTTGTATATTCTAATTTTAAGTCTACTGCATCTTGTATATTGTTATTGTACACGATAATAAATAATTGTATATGTACTGTGATTCTTTGTAAAATGGTTAGTCTTATCATCAAAACTCATTTAACTGATTTAAATAACAAAAGACTCTTAAATAGATTTTTTCATTAAGACGTCTACCATTGCCGAAAATGTACATTTTTTGTAACTGATTTCGTAATTCGTTTGTATATTGACCTTTCAAAGATAATGTCGAAGTTACTTGTGACTCGCGTTAGTGAGTGGTGGGGGGATTGCCATTTTGAATAAAAACGTGAGACACAACTGTCTCCGGCGTGGTCGTCTGATGTGCTATCGTCGGAGTGTCGCAGTAAGTATATACACAAGTGTCTTTGTGCGCTTCTTTCTCAATTCGCTCAGGGATTGACCAGAGTTAGTCCCTTCGATGTTTCATTCCAGACCTTCGGTTTTTCCTCTACCATTACACTACACCCCTTTTAAGACTAACTAATTTATGCATCCGGTAAAAATATCCGTCTCTTCCAAGAGTCACGGGCTGCAGCAATGGGAGCCTGAGATAACGGATTACAGGGCTCAAAGCGTCGGGCCACAGAGTACTAGCAGCGCTAAACCTACAGATTGCTGCATCCCCAGTTTTTCCAAACTCTCTTTCCTCACTCCTTTAACCAGTTAACTGGGTTTGACAAGTACACACGTCATTTTAATACTTGAAATGATACTAATCTTTTCAACGACGAATTAGTTACTTTTTCAGATACACATATAATTCTTCTTCGTTTTGCTGTAGTTCTTCGTTAAAATATATTATAGGTATATTTGCACTGGGTTTGACGAGTATATACTTCATTGATTGACTTTATTGCACGCACAATAAGAGATTTTTCAAACTAAATTCCGCAGCAAGGCAAATGCGCCTGTAATTTATTCTAACGATAAACTAAAACAAAACACAGAAGAATTATTTACTCATCTAAAAAAATAAATAATTCATTGTTAAAGAAATTAGTATCATTTTGCGTATTAAGATAACGTGTATACTCGTCGAACGCAGTTAACTGGTTAAGCTAAATCCTTCAAATACTGAGGAACAGCTGTAAGGGCAGTCAGTCTTCAAAAATAATTAAGACTTACAAACACGACTCTTCGACTGATTTTTTACTGAGTTTTTGTTAAATAAAGTTACGTAAAAACAATTCTGTGAAGTTTTCCCTCTCGAAGCGCTCTCCCAGAGGCACCTCGACGATAAAGGGCTAACAAGCCATACACAGAAAAGCTCACCCAAAAATGTCATTTAAAATGCCTCCGTTGACATCGTCATCTTTTCGAATTCAGGTTTCAGTTTATATGGGTATTAAAATTATCTCAATTCTAATGTCCAAAAAATGTACCCCTTAGCAACTTGCTGGTAAAAGTGATGTATCACTTGATGGTTAGGCAGAGGAATATGGATCTGATTGGCCAGTTTTTATCCTATTCTCATCTCATTTCCGATGTTAATTTGCTATTCGTCAATAGCACAAACAAAACACAGCGAAGAGCCCCTCTTGCCTCTGTACTATTCCGCTCGATGTCAAGTCATTTCCTAACAGTACTTATAAACAATACAATTCCAATTAGAATGAATAATGATGATAACTATTTCGTGTGACACGTCAGGTTATGTTTTTATAAGATATTCATAGAAATATTCACATGATTTGTAGATTTGTGGTACCAAAGATATCGCAAAATTTGATTTAATTTACTTAAAATTCGATTTACATAACACGGTTAACTAGTTAAAAAGAAAGTTACAGTGTTGTCAATAGGAAGAAACTTGTATCTTGCGAAATCAAAAATCATATGGAGACAAACTGGCAAAGCAAACAAATTTTAAGATTGTAAAAAAAATACCAAAACTAACTCTATATGAGTAGCGACAAAAGGAGAAAGTAAATATAACGTAGAATTGTATCCTATAATAATCGGGAGAGTTCTTAAAAGTGCCGACTATACAATAATTTAAGAGTGATACGAGGAAAAACCAAAAAGAAAGATTACAGTTCGGAAAAATGTATTTACATGAGAATTCAAAATTTTCCAGTAATTTCCTTCTCTCTGATAAGAATAAATTAAATATTTTTCAATCTGTTGGATAAAGAAAACATGTGAAGTAAACGTAAGTACTTAGGTAATACTGTAAAATCACTTAAAATAGAGAGGAACTGTGCTGATATGGAGATCTATGAGCACGCCCGATCTTTTTGTTAAAGAATTCATTTTTATAGATGATACAATGATGGCGTAGGTACGTTAATTCAAGTATTTTGTAGTAGAGCATAAAAAAATGTAGTAAATATTAACAACAGTACAAAGCGTACTGTTTATGTCGTCCATATGTAATGAACAAGTCATTTTTAACGCAACTCCATCACCATTTTTGATAAATCAATTTAATCGACGATTAAAAGATTTTTAGCAAATTCAGAAGAATTGTGCGAAGTAACTTTAAATATAAATAAAAAATAACGGCCATAATCATATAAATCAGGGGTGGTCAAACCGTGGCGCATTGCATTCATGCGCCTACTTATTCTTTCTAAGCTTCAACAAACGTGTGTCTTTTGAACTCGCGTTAATTAATTAATTTAACTACAAGATTGGGTTTTTCCTTTTCCTCCCCTAAGCGAAACAGATCCTACCCCTATCCCCTATTTTTCTACCTCAACCGTGAATGTAAGGTCGAAGAGGTGCTTGAGTTGTATGACGCATCTAAACTCGTCTGTGAGAAAAATTGGCGTATGATATGCAA